GGGAGCACCTTGTGCGGGTGATGGAGGAGGTGCTGAGCCCCAGGGGCTGCTGGCAGGGCTGGGCTGGTGCAGTGCTGCAATGCAGCTCTTGTGTAACCACCTCCCCCTGGAGCTGGGCACCAGCTCCACACGCTGCTCAGGGAGGCAGAGCTGTGGGGGGAAGGCAGTGCCCACGGCCATGGAGGTGTCCCACCATTCCCACAGGATTGCCACCCTGCAGGAGGACTCAGTGATCCGAGCCAAGGGGAGCAGTCACTGCCTTTTGGCCTTTGGCTGGTCAAACACTAAATAAAACCCCCAAAAAACACCAGTAAAATGAATGCTCTGAGGGGTGACCCCGGCTCAGGGCTGGTCAGGGGGCTGGTGCTGGGTGGGACATTTTCAGAATGAGGGTGGGGAGGCCCTGGCACAGGTTGCCCAGAGAAGCTGTGGCTGCCCCTGGATCCCTGGGAGTGTCCAAGGCCAGGTTGGACGGGGCTTGGAGTAACCTGGGCTAGTGGAAGGTGTCCCTGCCCATGGCAGGGGTGGCACTGGATGGGCTTTAAGGTCCCTCTCAACCCAAACCATTCTGGGATTCTGTGATCTACACCTCCCACTCCCAGAGAACCCTCTGGGAAGTAGAAGCTCCAGATGTCAAAGACAGAAAGGTGGCATTTGTCAGATTCATTACATTCCACAAATCCTCCTCACTCCCTGTCCTCAGGATGGTCAGTGGTGGTGTGGCCACGGCCCCCAACCCACTGCCCTGTCCAGGAGGGGCTGGAAGCTCCACCACACCCCACAGGAAGGACAGATGGAGAGGTTTGTGGGGCTGTTCCTGCTCCTCAGGAATACGTGTGGACCTTACCTTGATAATGCAACATCAGTCACGGGGAAGGTGCCGACGGTTCCTTGTGATGTGGCTCAAACCAGCCCGTGGGATTTCCCACTGTCTGAGGTGCTCAGGGACTCCAGGCAGGTCAGGAGGCCAAAAAATACCTGTGAATAGAAGGTGACCTTTGCTATAACTATATAACTTCTCATTTATTTACTAAGAGAATTAGAAAACCACAGGGGTGTGTGAAGGAGCAGGGTCAGGCTCCCAAATTTCCCAGTGTTCTGGTTGACTCCCTTTCATTTACCCATCTAATTGTTGTTAGCAATGAATGCTCTGACAGGAGGAGGTCAGAGCTCACCCAACCATTGCAGAAATGTCTCTTCCCAGCTCTGCCCATTGATAGCAAAGCTGTCCTTGGATTGCAACACCTCCAAGACTCGAAACTTCAGCTCCTCCGGAGCAAAACTTAATCCAGCTGCACCAAGTCACTGCAGATAAAAGAATCCACATTTTCCTTCCCTACCCAGCCCTGCACTAGAGAAATGCAGCAGAGCAGCTCAATTACCAACAGTTACAGCACAGCAGGATGTACAGTTTTCTAATTGAAGACTCCGAGATGCAAGCAATCAATAAAATAAAGAGAACATTTAGAAGAAATAAAAACATACCCTTGCATAAAATATATCCTCATTAGGAGAAGAGATGACTGCTCCAAAAAAAAAAAATCACCGAGGTGCTTCTGTGACAGGCAATTTTTAATCAAAGACAGTTCTATGCAAATTAAGGACAGCAAATCTCTGCAGAAATAATAAACTCTGGCTTAACAGTCCTATCCCTTTCCCTGTGAAGCTGCTGTGGATGCTCCTTTATAACTGGTGTTGGATGGTGTCCTTCAAAGATTGTTGCATGTTTTCCAAAGCAAGGACTTGGAAAAAAAAAATAAAATAAAAATCACTAATAGAAAATTCAGATTTTGAGGCAATTCGCAGAATGAATTTTCAAATATATATATAAAAATAATTCTAATTAATGATCAGGGTGGAACACTGTTAGAGGAATAAAACTATGGACTCTTATCAGAGTATATAAAACTTCTCCAGGGGCAGAAGCTCCTGAGCTGTTCCACCATGTCAGGAACACTTATTTTTGCTGTGCCACTGCTCCACAGCTCTTCACATCTTATACTACATCCAACAACGTGGAAATTCCTTCTCCAGCTGCCACAGAGCACTCATGAATTTAGTAACCACCTGGCAATGAAGGGGCTGCCTCAGGTTCTCCCAGGAGTGTTCTCAGAGTGGGGAAGGATTAATCTTTATTACACAACTCATCAGCTCCACTCTAATTCCACTGGTGATTTACTGCTGGATATGGGACCTTTGGGAAACAAGGAAAATATTTTGGGGTGGGGTTTTTGTTTGTTTGTTTTGTTTTTTTCAAGTTCACCTTCAAGTTTTGGAAAATGTGGTTCCTGATTCTCCTCACTTGGATAGAATTTAGAATTTTAGGGGAAATATACCATAGGGATCCACAGCTTTGTGAACCACAGAAATGTTGGAAAAGGCCTTGGAAAAAGCCTTGAAGATCATCAAGTCCAACCAAACTCACTAAGATTGAGATGCTGGTGGGAGCAGGGGGTGCACAAACCATTCAGTATAAATTAAATTTAACAATTAATAATGGTTGCAGATTTCAAAAGGAGGGTTGGGTTTTTTTATTCTAAACAAAGTTTTGCCTGATTAATGGTGTTCCCTGGGAGGAGATGGCAAGTTTTATTTATTTTATTCCTCAGATGCCTCTGAAGTGGTGACATCTCTTATCTGTTAAACAGCAAACATCTTCTTCATTATTGGCACAGGTGGCTGCACATCAACATCATCTTATCAGAACAATGTAAACTAAAAAATATTGAAAATAAATTCAGTGAAACACTTGAGAAAATCCTCAGTGCACATTGGGACAGGGAATTTAAACACCTTCCTTGGCTTTGTCCTCCAATTTACTGTAAAGTTTATTTTAAAGTGAGTCTGGTTTGAGTTATGATTAATGGTTTTGAAAGAGCTTTTTTTTCAGCTGCACATACCAACAAAGGATTTGGAATTAATGCCCATCATCTAACTCCTTCCTTAATGGATTTTTAAGGTCCACTGCAAAGAATCAATCAATGGGAGGGGGAAAGCTCTGCCTGTAATCCATCCTGCCACGTCCAAGGCTCTGCTGTGAGCAGGGGATTTATGATCACCTGAATGAATTGGAATTATTTGCAGCGATTAACAAAAGCAAAAGAATCATTTGGATTCGCTCCAGCCAGGATGCAAACACAGCAACTCAAAAAAAAAGCACCAAAAGTTGGGGTCTTTTGGTATTTAAAGACTATTTTGTGAGTCTTCCCTCGAGAACTTCAGTGCTCAGGCACTGAATGTTTTCTCATCAGGAAACATCTCATTTCCAGGCACCGTTTTCAGGACAAAGTGACATTTGCAGGTTAATTTTGCACCTTGCCTGACTGCACATGACACTCCTGGAACAAGCAAGAGCAAGGAAATTAAAGCATTTCCATGGATTTTCTCTACTTTTTTCCCCTGCTGGTGATTTTTGTCTTTAATTGATAACAATTAGAAAAATTTAACATTTTCTTAGCTCAGTTTCTATGTGGTTTTTTGGCAAATCATATGAAAGCTTTAATAAATTCATCCATGTGTGCACAGAGAAGCTGCCACTGACTGAGCTGGAACAGGGCAGGGATGAAGATTTTTGGGAATGTCACCAGAAAGGGGATTGGACAAGTAGGAAATGCCTTTTTACAACACTATTGCTCTGGGAAAAGGACCTTTTTTAAACTTTTCAGTTGTCAAAAAGAATTAACAAGACATTTTCATGGCACCAATGGAAATGATTGTCATAAAGAAAATCAGCAAACCTGTAAAATTCCAAAAAAAAGTTCCAAAATAACAACAATTTGGAGAACTCCTGAGATAAAAAAAACACATGAATTTGGTTTCCAAATGGAATCCACAGGCTCCTCTCCACTGATTCCATTGCTCCAGGCAAACACAGCATCAAACTGGTAAAAACCCCACGTTAAAACTGGAACCACAGAACTCCCAAAGTCATTTTTTCTCTCTGATTCCCCAAAGGAGTGACAAGAACTCCGAACTTTTTTAGTGCCAAACCATTTTATGGGAAAATTCATCTTAAAAAAAGAGCTGTGCCCTCAAAGATACATTGAATTCCTGATCTTGAAAGTCCTGGAGAGGGCAAAGAACAACTGGGCCACGTCCAAGGGATCAAAAAATAGCAGCAGCACTTTCATGTGAGCAATATCCAAAATTTATCTCTTGCAGCAACAATAAAAGAGGTTGAAATGTGGATGGGACTGAGAGAAAGGTCTGAGCTGAGAAACACAAACCTTTAGGGGAGAGCAGAAAAAAAGGGAATTATTGCCAGACTTGGTTTCCTCTTGAAACACAGTTGGGGTGTGCAAATATGAGGTTCTGGTTGAGCATCTTGGAGTTGTTTCTGTTATTACTCGAGGATATTGAGGTGAAGTTTATGCAGTGTACAGGTAAATATCCTCTCCCTGCCTGCTCAGGAACACAAAAGCCTTGCCATGAGCTCTGAAAACCACCTTCATTTCCTTTCTGCTCGTGCAACAGCTTGAGAAAGAAGATTTTTGGCCAAAGCCGCCCATTTCTGCAAAAATTTATAAAACAGCTCCTGCTCTGTGAATATTTCCAGCCTCTAAATACTCTTTAATTTGCTCCTTTTCTGTGCTGACCTGCGTTTTTGCTCACTTGTGAAAATTAATTAAGTATCTGAAGAGCCCAATCAGCCTTTTTGAGAAGAATGAAACATAAAAAGGGGTTTTGTTGGGTTCTCTGCATTTTCCCTCTCCCCATCCAGGCTGCCCCTCCCTCCCCTTTTCCCTATAATGCACAAAAACCCCGTGTAGGTCATAAGGCTGTTAAGCAGAATGTAGGTGGGTAATACATCAAGAGCACAGTAAACTATTAAACCCCAAAGATGCTTATCAAGCAGGATTAATCCCACACTCCAGCTCAGTTTTATTGATGCTGCAACATTAGTCTAAGGGGTTTTTTTGGAAATCACACCACATTTCCCAGGGGGGAGATGAGACAAATAACACTGCAATAAAAATTCATCATATTTTCCTACCTTGGCTGTTCCTGTTGCTCTGCCAGAACTTTCACCCCAATCTTTCAGCAAATAAAAAATCCTCACATCGGTTTTGACTGAACGGCTCACACAGCATAAAATTGCACTTGAAAAAGGAAATAAATTGGCTATTTTCCTGCTGTTTGTACTTATCTATGTACAGATGATCATTAAAACGGGGACATCCCATAGGGATGTGCCCATGGGCATTCTGGAATGAGCTCTGGAAGGAGCCTCTACACTTCAATCACCACCCTGGTTACTTTGCAGAAGATTAATTGTCTACGGTGTTTATGTAAATAGGGAAGTGAAGATTCCTGGGCACCCTTATCCATAAATTAAAATCAATGTTTCCTGCAGTTGTGGCTGTAAAGGGGAAATAGAGCCTGACTGGATGTAATGAGGCAGTTGTGTTCTCCATAACTCTAATTTACTGTTACTGCTCCAAGAACCAGCACCTCTTGTTTAGGCTGTTAAGTGACAATAAGTGCGGCTCAAATAAATCCTAATGAACACTCCTGGGTCACCTTACTGGATTTATGGGGCAGAATCAGCATTACTTGAAACAACTGGAGTCTTTGGGGCTGCCTGGGACAGTCTGAGCCAGGGATTGGATCCTTCAGGACACACATAGGGATGGACAGGGAGAGGAGCCTGGTTTGGGAAGGGTGACCTCCCCCTGAAGTTTTCTTGATAGCTGCCTTGGGAAAATCATTCCAGTGATTAAAATCAAACACAAACCCTCTTCTCTCTTGCTGCCTTATTTCCACACACACACACAGAGTGGATCTTCTCCCAACACATTTCCCTGAACAAAACAATTCCAGGCACCTGCTACAGAAAGGGCTCCATGTTTTGCTGCCAGGAAAATGCTGAACCCGTAAAGGATATTTTTGGGAGTCAGACCAGGTTGTGGTTCCTTCCTTGCTTTGGAAGAAGAGCAGCTCCTCCTTCCAGCCACGTCCACGAGGGACACGAGTGCTCCCAGGAAGCCCCAGTGGCCCTTCAGAAGCCTCTCAGCACCAGCAAAGCAGTTTTTTGGAAGGTCTTCCACTCAAGTGGTTCTCTCCAAAGACTGAGCCACCTCCTGTCTGCAATTCCCCTTCCAAAAATGTGCTGAGCAGGAGTTAAGGAGAGCATTGAGCTGGAGAGGGCCAGGGAAGGAAGAGCAGCCCCTGCTCAGATCCCCAGGCTTGGAGCTAAGGCATGAAATCCAAAGTCTAATTTAAGTCCTGTTGGCTCCAATGAGACAATCCAGTCTCCACAGGCAGAGGATGGCAAGCCCTCCGTTTTTGTATTCCCTTAAAACCCATGACAGTTCCCAAAAAATGTGAGGACATTTTGCTTTTCAATTAAAATAATGTACTTACATAACACCACTGCTTTTCACGCTGCTGGGCCTGGTCCTCCCTTCAGGAGCTTATCACTGTGATCCAGATTTCTTTATCCACCTTTGTATCTCATTCCAAGGCAGCTGGGCAGGATTTCAATCCAGGACCAGAGTGTTTCCACAGAAAAGCCTCCCCAGCCCCATTATGTGTCTGAGCAGGGGGATGTGGTGCAGACCATTGTCATGCTGCCCTCCTTCATCTCCCTGAAGCATAAAATAGAAAAATGCTTCAATTTTTAACCTATTTTTGAGGAAAATAAAAGCCTGACCTCTCTACAGAGCCTAAAGACTAATCTTGAAATCATGAGAAAGACTTTTACCATGACTCTTAATCCTTCAGTTGCTAATATTACACAGTGAAAGGCACTCACCACACGAGCCTCCCTTATGGAATGTGCCCTCCTATTTATTAAAAATAATATTATCACTACTGCCTATTTATTTAATGCTTTTCCTCTTCAGAGCACTTTTTAGGCATTAGCTAATTAATGTAATGACTTGTGATGTTTCAAGTGCTCCTCTCCTCGGCAGAGCTGGAGGGAGGGTGAGGAGAAGAGCTGGGATCTGCACAACCCCGGGCTCTCTGCAGCACCTCTGGCCTCTTCAGAGGGACAGGGGGAAGCCAGGCCAGGGTTTTGTGGCCCTTGGACACCTGTGGGATGCAGCAGAGGGAAGGGAATGCTGGGCAGCTGTTGGATGTGCAGCACTTTGGGTTAAAATCAGTGCTCCCAAACACAGAGCTCAGCACAGCCCCTTGTGAAACCAACCCCTACCTGTGTTGCTCATAACAAGGTGACATTTATGAAACTATTAACTTAATAACTCCATTATGCTTTACTGCAACCCCTCAGACATTGGCTCTGCAATGCATTCCCTCACCAAAGCTGTCAGAGTCATTTAAATATCATTAAACCATAAGGAATGAGCTCCTTTCCCTGCCCTGGGGAAGCTGCCTCAGCCTCAGGGACTTTCCCCCTTTTTCCCCTAAAGCTTCCTGCTGCTCCCATGGCACAGGGACAGCCTGGAGAGTCCACCAAGATCCCAGAAAACAAGCAGAGATGGAGCCAGGAAAGCTGTGCAGACCCACCACACAGTGGTGTCACCCCCAGGGAGGTGACACTTGTGCAGCACCAGGAGCCAGACGAGGCAGTTGTATTTTAAGTGTATTTTACACACAGATGGCATCTTCAAAACTTTCCTTATATCAAAAAGTGTTCTCTGTTACAGGAAAATTTTCAGTGGAACAAGAAAAAAAAATCTCCTGCTGGGTGACATCAGTGAGCACCCAAACCTGCACAAAAAGTCTTGCTTTAAAAACAACCTAAACACAAACCAGCCCCCTGGCACCAGGCCTGTGGACAATTTAACATTGCATGTGAAAAGGAAAGGTTTTTTCCAGCTTACCTTAATGATGGGAAAGGTGAAATTTGGCTTTAAACTACGTCCCAGTTAATAAAGCAAGAACTGTGTGCCTTGGGGCTTCCATTCCTCAGAGTTAACACAGAGGTTCCAGCTGCTTCTGTCCAGGAGAATTGGACTCTAAACAGTTTTACTCCCCTGCAAGTCTTTTTTTTCTGAATGGCAGATAAAATAAAATGAGGCACTTCTAGCACACAACTGTTCAAAATCACCTCTTTTTCTTATTCCTGGCTGGAAGCAGCAACCCAAGGGAAAAACCTGCCTTTCCAAAGAGCATCCTGCAACCCTGAACTGCTTGGAGCATCCCCATGCTTGGGAAAAACCCGAGGCATTTCTGCTCAAAATGTGTGTTTCTGGGTTACTTCCAGTCTCCAGCTTTTAAAGAGCAACATTTTTATTTCTTCAAAATGCCCTGCTATTGAAATTTATTTAGGGGACGTTTGAATTTTATTTTTTTTTAATTCTTCCTTCCAGTCTCTTCTTTGCTTTTTGCACTCATTAAAACTTTACTTGCAGAGCAGGAGGACAGAGCAACAGCACAATATATCTGTATAAAATGTGCAGATGTGCTCACCTACATCTGTATCATTGACAGTGATTAACAGAATATGGCACCTACAGACAAAATGCACCCGCAGACCATCTTCTAAAGCCTCATTTTTGCAGGGTTATTTTTTCCTAAAGCCTGTGTTGGTGCCTTGAAACACGAAAGCTGCAATGCAGATTAGAGGGTTCATTTGAAGAAGCCCCTTTTAGGGGATGTGGATCTGTGATTTCACCCCTTTGGGTTTGTTCCTGGGTATTAGTTGTTGTTTCTTCTTTTCCACTATGGGAACTCCATCAGACGAACATCCAAGTTATTTTTTTAAACCTGTATCAACACTTTTTTGCTTAATGATTTGAACAGTGTATTCCTGGTCTGTGATTATTTTTGGCTCCTCCACAAGCCCAGTAACACAGAAGTCATAATTTTGAGGCCTTTGTGAAGTGCCCTAATGAACAAGCACTGCTAGGAAATGAAGAACATGCCAAACCAGCAAAAAGCCACTCAGCTCATCAGAGATGCTCTGAATTCCATTGCTACCACTTCCAGCTAAAATGAAGCAAAGCCAGACTGCACCAATCCAGGGAAAGCATCAACCAGGTGAGAAATCAGATCATGAAGCAAAACTTTGCTTTGATGGGCCACGAGTAACTGAGGAGATTCCGTGTCCTCAGAGCAAGTGTGTCCTGGCACAGCCACAGAGGGACTCTGAGATGGGAAATGTCTCCTCATTCCTACATTTCGGGAAGGTTTGACTCTGCTCAGGCATGTGGCTCCTCAGTATCATCTCAGGGACACAGGAATCCAGGATTAACACAGTGCACAGGATTCCTGTGTCACTGCTCCTCCCCAGGGAGGGTTCAGGGAGCTGCCAAGCAGACAGACCTGGGGAAACAGTCTCCAGTTGTGCCAGGGGAGGGTCAGGTTGGATATCAGGAAAAATCTCTTCACTGAAAGAGTGTTTGAGCACCTGCACAGGCTGCCCAGGGAGGTGGGGGGGTCACCATCCCTTCAGTGTTCAAACAACAAGTGGACGTGGCCCTTCACAACAGGGTCTGGCTGACAAGTCCAAGGTTGGGCTCAGTGTTCCTGGAGGTCTTTTCCAGCCTCAGAGACCCTGTGGATATGGAAGCCAGCTCAGGAGCTGGGGATCATTGGAGCCACCGGGACCCTTCACCCCAGGCTGCCCAGGAGGGGTTCCCAGAGCTCCCCACCCTGTCCCCTACTCCAGTGAGGGTCCAGCCACCCCCCTGCAGCTCCAGCCAGGCACAGGGGACACTTGTGGGGCCCAAATCCCCAGAGGGATGAGGGTGAGCAGCTGGAGCAGCTGGGGCAGCAGATGCTCTGCAGCTCCCAGGATGGTGTCCTGTCCCAAATCCCGACAGCCACACTGTCCTTGGGAGCTTCAAAGCACAACCTGCTGAAGAAAGGCCACAACATCCCCCTGGGAGGGGCAGGAGGCCCTTCTCCCAGAAACTGCTGAGCTGACTAATTGCTAATTGCTCCCTGCTCATTACCACTGAAGATGGATGAAAGCTGTGGAGACATAAACCACATCATTAAAAGCAAGAGGTTGTGGAAACCAGGCTACACAAATCCTGCTTTATAACCAGATGTTTGAAAATTCATCCAAAAAGAGTTTTTCCTCACTGCAAGAAGCATGTGGGAAGTTAGCCTAATGGATTATCATGGATAATCCCTCATCCCCCCAAAATATCTTCAGTTCCTGGTCACCAACACGATGGGCTCACCCAAACTCTTCAGGAATTCCTTTGCTCTGGTTACAAAGCAAAGGAACAGATGGGGAAAAAAAATCTCCCAAATCCCTCCCAGGCAGACAAAAAGAGAAATTCTCTCCCTAGGAAATGGTGAGCCAGGATGCAACTCCTGGATCCTCCCCACCCAACAGACACCTCCCAAGGAATGGGGTGTGAAAGGGCAGAGCCAGCATCTGGATCAACATCTGGAGTCATTCCCTGCACCTAAACTTACAGGAAGGGCTGGGAAGGAGGTGTTGGAGGTGAGGAAGGCTCCAGCTGACAGTCCTGCTCCAGAGTTTCCCTCCAGGTCTTTTATCCCTGCTGGAAGAACATGAGACAGTGTTTTCCTCTAACTCATCAAGGAATACTGAGCTCTGCCTCAAACCCATGTGCCACCTCCCTCCCAACGCTGATACTGATCTAAATATATTTAAATTGAACAATAATATAATTAAGCGCCTTTCTTGTCTTCAGTGTTTGTATTCTGAGGCTTTTAGAGGAAATTTTGAGATCTATCAAAGTATCTGGAAATGTACTAATTATTTCCATGATGATACGATCCCAAGTGGCAGAGTAAACATAATTACCCATATTAATAGAAAACAAAAATCAGCAGCACTCCAAGGCTCTGTGGGCTTCAGAGAGCAAATATTGCCACAGTTGATCATTCCCCACAAAAGGCTATTTATTATTCCTGTAAAACTGCACCCATTTAACAAGGAATCTCAGTGACCTGGTGTCTCTCCAGCATCTCTCCCTTAGCGAGAAAAGCTCAGAGTGAATGAAAAGCCCCCAGATTTTAAAGTTAGATTATTTTGACTTGATTGTGCCCTGCTTTGAAACCCTGCAGCTGAGTTTTTTCTTAACTTTTCAAGCGAGTTCTGGGTGTCAGAAACCCTGGGTATGGTTGTTAAAAAGCTAAGAAAGAAAGTGAAAGGATTTCACTGATTTCACTTTCTGCTGAAAATCCCCCTTTTCAGGGAGCTGAAGGGATATCGCTGGATCTTTTGTTACTTTTGTGAGCCTGTAAAGGTTTGCCTTTAAAAAAAAGCCCAACCAAAAGAGCACCAAAATATGCAGACTCATGCTTAAAGTAAGATTTCCTCCTCTTTGCTCTCTGTAGGAGCCCTTACGTGTTCCAGGAGTGTTTCACCTCTGGCTTTGAAGCGCTGGGAGATTTCCCTTCCACTCAGGGAGCACCTCCTGGGGCTGCAGCAGCTTTGTTTCCCAGCCCTGACACAGCAGCTCTGCCTCTCAGAAATCTCCCAGGGATGAAGTCCAGGGACAGGAAAATTCCTGTGTGCTGGAACAGCACAACAGCACCATCCCAGCAGGGACCCAGCGGGGCTGTGGGGACAGGAGGGGACACGGGCAGGGAGGAAGGATGGAACATCCCCTCTGCCTTCCCAGGGCTCAGCAGGAGCTGCTGCCACTGACACCACAGATATTCCATTTAGAACCCTGACAGAACATTCCCTTCAACATCAGAATAAACGACAGGGATAGAAAGCCAAGGACAAACCCAAAGGCAGGCGGGACCTGCTGGAAGAGAATCTGACCCACCCGCTGAGGTTCCATCCCCACAAAGCCACATTGGTGGCTCCCAAGGACACAGAGGTGCCCCAAAAAATAGGGATTTGCTCTTTTGCTACTAAAATCCTACACTTTGAACAAAATACACCATCACAGTCTTTCCTCCTTCGGTGTGGGAAGGGTTGGACACCACTGGAGTCAGCAGGACACCACACACCACCTTTAACCCCTCGGTGCTTCCCAAGGGCTTGAGTCAACACAGGAGCTGTTGTCTCATCCCCTCCCAGCATCACTTATCTACCTCGTTCCCGAAGGCAAAATCCAATTAGAAATTTAAATAATAATCAAATGAAAGCCTTGTAAATCTCGATTCACACATCCCACAATTCTCACCTTCCTCCCGTGTCTCCCTGCTAAGCCTCCTCTGCCACAGCTTCTCCTTGCAGCTACCTCGGGTTTAGCATTAGGTGATGAAGCATAAAATGCTATTTAAATACTATAATTTCAAGAGCAAGCAAAGAACATCCCATTTATCTTCACTAACCTTGAATATGCCTGTCCCGTCTAATGAAAAAAGTGATTGAAGGGACTTATTTCAGCTCACCATCCCAAGGCCCCCATAAAAGCTGAATGGTAATTTAATTAGTTTCCTTTCTGATGATTAACTAGGAATTTCTGATCATTTAATCTGAGTGCACTTTGATTCATTAAGTATCTGTTTCCATTTTTTTATGAGGTGATTAAATAACCCTGTCCAGGTACCCACCGTGGTTGGTGTGCTATGGATTTTGTGGGAATCAGATGGGAAATAAGCAGGGTGGGAACTGCATTTCCAAACCTTTTTGGGGCTCTCCTGACTAGATGACAAATCAGCAGTTAATTTAGTGTGGCAGAGCTTGCAAACCACGAGCCAGATCCCGCCCTGAGGAAAACCAGCACGGGCCTGTGATGCTGCTTTTCCCTGTGGCCCCAGAGTGATGCCACATTCCCTCTCTGCCCAGGAGGAGCAACACCTGCCCCAAACCAGGGCTGAGGACTGATGGCAAACCAGGGTCATTCAGTGGGAGATTCTCCCACTGCCCTCCTGCTCCAGTGCCATTTCTCCTGAGCAAAGCAATCCCTCCCTCTGCTGATCCATCATCACCCCTCGGGACCAGGGAGGTTGTAACTGCTGGCCTGGCTCATAAAGGATGATTAAATAAATCTATTAAAGTGCTGGGAAGACTTAGAGTGCTATATACTTAACTTTTTATTTAGATTTAAAGCTTATTATAAAGACTGTACATGCTCTCCAGGCACCCATAGCAAAAA